CTGACAGGAACCAGGAGAAGAGATAATATTTCTCCTATTTTAGCTTCTCTGCATTGGCTTCCTGTAAAATCCAGAATAGAATTTAAAATCCTTCTGCTCACCTACAAAGCTCTTAATGGTCAGGCACCATCACACAGTCAGAGAGGTTATTAGTATATAGTTAGGATTTTTTACATGATTCTTTCCAGGATAGTTTCTATGCAAGCTAAAAAATCTCTTGTGCTCAAAATGTCGTTAATTGAGGCACAAAGATAATTCCATATACTTCATTTGATTCCCAACTTTTCCTCACTTAATTTTAAAGGTTCAGTGTGTAATATTTAGTGACATCTAGTGGTGAGAGGTCTGAATTGCAACCATCTGTCCAGTCTACCACTGCCCCCTAACCTTTCAAAGAGCGTGGGACAACTACGTGGGCTGACACAGCACAACAGGTGTCTCTTCTGAGACAGCAGAGAGTGGCCAGTGAAGAAATGAGGGTTCTTTAGGTATATTTATTAAGAAATTCTAATAATAATAATAATACATTTTATTTAAGGCGCCTTTCTCGGCACTCAAGGACACCGTAGAGGGATGCAAAAACATTTAAAAGCAGCAAAACTAGAAAATAGAACATTAAAACAAGCTAGAAATTTTTTTTTACATCAAATGAGGTAGGCAGTTTTAAATAGATGTATTTTGAGTTGCGATTTAAAATGGGAGAATGAATCGATGTTTCTAAGTTCGGGTGGTAAAGAATTCCAGAGACGGGGAGCAGAGCAGCTGAATGCTCTAAGGGCGGAGGCGATTGATGTTTCGTAGATGGAAATAGGCAGACTGGGTAATGTTATTGATGTTAACACTGATGTTATTAGTGGCACTGAAAAGGTAAAGTGCTGTCAAGGATGACTCCCAGACTCTTAACCTGGGGGGAGTGTGAAACGGAGGAATTATCAATACTAAGAGAAAAGCTGTCGGTTTTGGATAAAGTGGGTTTAGTTCCAATGAGGAGGACCTTATTTTTATTACTGTTTAATTTGAGGAAATTATTGGTAAACCAAGTTTTTATTTCCGAGATACAGTCAGTGAGGGGATCAGCATAACAGTGGAATTGAATATTAAATTTGTGGAAGATATTGCCCAGGGGAAGGAGATAAATGATGAAAAGTAAAGGCCCAGGACAGAGCCCTGGGGCCCTTACTTTTCACTTACTTTTACTTTTCTTCATTTATTTCACCTGAAGTAACGGGGGGAGGGACAGGATTTAAGACTTAAGTTGAACGAATTGAGTGCGGCCAGAAAGATAGGATGTGAACCAGTCTAACGGAGTGTGAGTGATACCGATAACCTGTTGAGGAGATATTTATTTAATTCTTCAGTAAAACCATATGATATTGTGACTTGGCCACTGACAGATAACATGGAAAATGTAAGCCAAGAGTGTGGAAAAATGTCAGTTTCTGCACCAGAGTCCATTATAAACCACACATTAGATAAAGTTTATAGAAACATTGACAAGGAAACAGTCATTCTCTCTGATTATGGACTGGCAAAACTGCCTGCCAACAATATCTGGCCCGCTGCCAGATTATGGTGCATTGATAGCGGCAAAAAAATAAAAAATAAAATACTTTGATGGTGGTGCTGAAATAGATCTCAGTCATGACAGCAACAGTTACTCACAATCACTTCCTCTTTAGTGGTTTTGCCTGCAAAATAAAAGCGCGAGAAGCTTGCTTACTGTAATGCAGTATTTGGAGTTGAACCGAGCTTTTACTTCAATTCTGAATGACATTAAAAGAGTGTGTAGCCTGCTCGACACACCTCTGAAACAGCCGTCAGAAAACGTGATTCCCCTAAATTTCCTTGAAGGATGCAGATCAAACACTGCAACAAAAACAGTGCAGTACATGCCATGATCTGAGAAACATCCGCTGCAGAATCCATTTAATGAAGAGAGAAAAAAAAGATGTCCCGAGGATGACGAGTCTTGCGCCTTACTGACTGAGCTAATCAAACAACTTATTACTACAAGTAAATATTATGGTTTATATTCTCATCCACCATCTAATGGTTCAAAATATTGCTCCAATGCAAAACTTATTTGCCTCCCCCTGCAGTATTTTATTACTACTTCATCTTCTAACGTATGTATTCAACATAGTGATGAGTGTCTGCACTGCCTGAATTCTACAAGAAGTAGAACAAGAAGAACGTAGTGACGAAACACGCTCTGTAGCGTTTGTTTTCAGCTACTGTAGAAACATGACAATGCAACATGGCGATGTCCATGGAAGGGGGTTATGGAGATATAAATGGCTCATTCTAAAGTAATAAAAACAATGATTATGTAGGGTCTTTACACACCACTGAAAACATAGTTATGGATCTTATATTGCATTTCTGTCGATAGATCCTCAGAAAAATTACACACTGAACCTTTAATAAACACATAATTTCTAGAAAACAGAATATATGTAGCAGTTTTGTGTGAAATAATGATCAAAAAACAAGGAGTACATTCATTTATTTCCAACAATATCAAATTCTGTCACTCGCCCTTCGAAAGCACTGAATAGCCAAAAGGCGGCTAAGAAGAACAATGTCACTGCTGCTGCTGTCACTGAAGCTCAGCAGTTTAAAGAGGGGAAATAAACACACATTCATCTCTTCACACCTGTTAGGCTAAGAGCAGATCAAATACACTTGACAGGGACAAAGTCAAACACTCACCACTGGGATCAGCAAAAAACACATTGAGACCAGTGAACCAGGAAACACCGACAGGTGAACACATACATGTGACATTATCCTCATGCAAAGACATTAATGACCAGATCTCTGCTAAAACAATGAGGCATTTATGTGCATTCATGTGCTGTCGGGATAATTGGATGTACTGTCTGTCTGGACTCATAAGGAATTGAACACAGTGTATTTTTTGGCTAAATGAAAGTTATCACTCTATTGATGATACATATGTATAATTCCAGAGATGGAGGAAACCCCGTAATCTGCTAGTTATTGTTTACTCATTGTGTCGTGTGCATTGTGTGTGAAATCAGGAAACGCCAAAATCATTCTTAAATTATGGATTCTCTTAGAGTCAGAAGTGTCACCTATTCAGTGTCCGACCAACTGTGAAATATGTTTATTGATTTTTGAGTTATGGCCAGCATGAGTTGTGAGTTCACAGTGACCTTGACCTCTGACAACCAAATTCTAATGAGTTCATCCTTCAGTCCACGTGGAAACTTGCACCACAATTGAAGAAATTCTTTCCAGGCATTCCAGAGACATCGCGCAGACGAGAATGGGTGTAAATTATGGGAGTGTTGTTGTGGCTCTAATCATGTCATCTTTGTTTTCCTCCTGTACAAAAAAACTGACCTTTTGCCAGTGAGTCTAAAGTACACTCACCGGCCACTTTATTAGGTATACCTATTGCTTGTTAACACAAATAGCTAATCAGCCAATCACATGGCAGCAACTCAATGCATTTAGGCACGTAGACGTGGTCAAGACAACTTGCTGAAGTTCAAACCGAGCATCAGAATGGGGAAGAAAGGGGATTTAAATGACTTTGAACTTGGGATGGTTTGGCATTTCAGAAACTGCTAATCTACTGGGATTTTCATGCACAACCATCTCTAGGGTTTACAGAGAATGGTCAGAAAAAAAGAAAATATCCAGTGAGCTGCAGTTGTGTGGATGAAAATGTCTTGTTGATGTCAGAGATCAGAGGAGAATGGGCCAACTGGATCAAGATTAACAGAAAGACAACAGTAACTCAAATAACCACTTGTTACAACCAAGGTATGCAGAATACCATCTCTGAATGCACAACACGTCGAACCTTTAAGCAGATGGGCCACAGCAGCACAAGACCACACCGGGTGCCACTCCTGTCAGCTGAGAACAGGAAACTGAGGCTACAATTCACATAGGCTCACCAATATTGGACAATAGAAGAAAAACGTTGGCTAGTCTGATGAGTCTGGATTTCAGCTGCAACATTCAGATGGTAGGGACAGAATTTGGTGTAAACAACATGAAAGCATGGATCCATCCTGCCTTGTATCAACAGTCCAGCCTGGTGGTGGTGGTAGTTTAATATTTTCTTGGCACACTTTGGGCCCCTTGGTACCAACTGAGCATCATTTAAACGTGACAGCCTACCTAAGCTCAAATCTCAAACTGGTTTCTTGAACATGACAATGAGTTCAGTGTTCTACGATGGCCTCCACAGTAGGGGTGGGAATCACCAGAGGCCCCACGATATGATATTATTATACGATATTTATGTTGCGATTCGATTTTATTGCGATTTTAAATATATTGATATATATTGCAATTTATTACCTTTTTCCAACTTCCTATTAGGTCCCTAAAGTCAAACTTTGTCAACATCTGTTTATCTAAAAAGATACATTTCTCTCTTTGTTCATATCACTTTTTCAGTCCTCTATATGGTCCTGTTAAGTTTTCTAGTGGACTAAAAAAGCAATAGATTTTATTATTCTAGTACCAAAAAGTTAAAACTCCCATCTGCAATTTATATACTAAAATATCAATACTTGGCGTCTGTGTATCAATACAGTATTGCCATGGCAAATATCACGATACTTTGCTGTATCGATTTTTTCCCCCACCCCTACTCCATAGTCACCAGATCTCAATCCAACAGAGCACCTTTGGGATGTGGTGGAACGGGAGATTGGCATCATGGATGTGCAGCCGACAAATCTGCAGCAGCTGCGTGATGCTATCATGTCATTATGGACCAAAGTCTCTGAGGAATGTTTCCAAGTAAGTATGCCACAAAGAATTAAGGCAGTTCTGAAGGCAAAAGTGGGGTCCCACCCGGTACTAGCAAGGTGTACCAAATAAAGTGGCCAGTGAGTGTATATGTCTGCTGATAATGCACATATCACCTCTGGTGCTGACAGTAGAAAACTACTCAGAATGACCGATTTGGTTTATGAAACCACAACTTACACCAAATGACACAGGCAACATGCTTCAGCACCTCCATATTTAGTTTCAGTTCTGATCAGCTCATGAATGCACACAAGACAGATGTCTGATTTCACAGCTACATCAGAGCAGCTGTAGGTTGTAAGTGAGGAACCAGAGAGATGTATAGTTATTAAATAAAACAGGATTAGCACATGTTGTGGTAGGGAAAGTTTAAGGCCAGTACCAACACCTGTGTTCTTACGCTGACAAAGTGGACATTTTCTATTCCCCACCCCCAAGTATTTAAAGCATCATGTGCCATATAATATATTTTACATATCATTCTAGTTAATATTCCCTTACACAAAAAGTAAAGAAATTAAATTAAATTTCAACTTAGCTTCACAAAAGTCTTAAAACTAGCACTAAGATAGTTTTGACTTCTGATTCAAACAAAAGATGAGAAAACATTTCCCCACTATGCGACAAATACCAGGAGAACTGTAACTGCACACCTACAAATACAGGAAGAGACAAACAATACACTGACAGGATATGAGGTACCAAGAGCCAATTTCAGTGAGCATGCAGAGAAAAACCAAAACAGCTTTAGTTTACTTCACACACATCTACACTCCCCTGTCTTGGCCTAGGAATTATGATATTAAAGGCAGAAGACTTAGAGTGTGTTCTTTTGTGTCCATGCCAGCTGCCTGTAAGTTGTAATGAGTGAGGAGGAGAGACATGGGGTCCATGTCTTTACCACAAGAGGATGACAGGGGACTTCAAGACCCTTACATTTTGACCCCTCACAGAATACAAAGCCATCTATAAGAACAGGGAACTCCTTTAACAGTCTTCTTCAGAGTCATTATCACTGGATCTACAACATTCAATCTGTACTTTTGTCCAAAGATAATTTTGCCTTTATCTTTTTGTATATGTTTTCAGTCTCGTAAACCAAACAAAACTCAAATGCACTCACTCTGCTCAGTTCCAGGCTGATCTTCATTTTCAGTCTAATTCAGTCACTACTTGCTCACGTCAAACGTTGAAATCACAAATACATCCTCATTCAGCGTTGGAGTAAAGACCCAAGTTAGCTTCCCAAACTGTTTGTCCCCGTCCCCCTTCATTATCCTCAGTCAGCAGTTGGCAGGTCAGAGTTCAAAGGCAGGGAAACAGGAAGCGTCAGGGTTAGCCATCTCTGATAGGTAGTGGATGGCCCCCGCCATACCTGAGGGGAGAAACATGGCCGTTCAGTAAATTTGAAGTTTGTAGTTTCCTGTTCTCTGAAGGCAATGGATGGATTATTACATTATGCAATAAAAAACATTTGTATACTAATTATATAGCAAGCGGACAGACAGGCTGGAGCGTGAGTTCACCCTCACAGGACCAGCTTAAAAATAATGTTATGGGCTGAAGTTAGCTGTAGAAGCAGGGTGGAAACGTTTACAGCTCGACCAATATGGGATTTTTAAGACCAATACCGATATTGATTTTTGCGGATTTGAAACCTGATATTCCGATACATAGACGGATATTTTTTCTCCTTCTTTTCAGAAATATATAAGATAAACAAAGATTAGCCCTAATATTTGTTATGTGTAACTATGTGATCTCACCAAGATAACATGACATAATGCAGTGTAACAATTAACTTTTCATTGTTATAAATAGTACTTTGAACAAAAGTACAGCTGATCATGTCAGCTGATGGATGTGTGGTTTTCAGGGAGCTGCAGAGTGCCCTCTGGTGGACAAACTATGCAACAACAACACTCATGACTGAAGGATCTGTCTGTTTCTTTAATTGTTATTTATCAACTGGTATAAACACAGATACCGATTTATCTGGAATTAGTTCATAGCTGATAATATCTATTGGTCGGGCTCTACTAACTTGAATGTATACGAATAAGATTTCAAGTTAAGAAGGTCATGTGCTTAATTCCTTCAGTGTAGCTATGTGAAAGTCCACTCTAACAGAACTACACAGCATATAATTGACCCTTCGCTAAACTTCGCCCCCCCCTTAGTTACTGTTGCTAAGTTCGACAAACTGTCGGACCTGTTGAACTTTTATCACGGCGCTGCCACTGTCTATAACTGCACTCCCTGGAGAAATATTGTCTAATTTTTGGAAAAAACAATCCCAGAAAGAAGCAAACCGTTTTGCAGTTGCATTATACATTTGAAGGCTGTATTCAGGCTGACGTGAAAAAAAATAAAGACAGAAGCTAAAGGCAAACGATCACAGAGTAAAAGTGAACCGCTGTATTACCTGACAATTGAGAAAGAGGACAACGATATTAAGGATCAACACTGTTCCTGTAAAGCTGGGTAGGTCTCTGTTCACTATTACAATCATTAAAAAGCAAAAATAGTACGTCTATTTAACGTTACATTCAGCATTCGCTAGCGTTAGCTAACTAACATTACATTAGGAACAATCCACAGCATGAATTTTTCTGGATTTGTTTTAGGTTTTGGAAAGGGAATAAATTGTACTTCTCCTTCAACCTCTCTGAGTAGCGACTATTACGGGTGCCCCAGGAACAGCGTTTGACCATATCTTGGAAAAATACAGCAAAAAAAGCTAAAAAAACGACTCATTATGCATACGAGTCAATGGAGTGCAGCCATGAAAGTGTCGGACTTCAGTTAGAGCGAGTCCTGTACTGCGCTGTGATTGGCCAGCTGTGTATTTGGGGCGTGGCTTAGTCAATTATAATAATATATATAACTGACCTTTGATGGAAGAAGAGGTAGCAGCAGCAGACATTATGTTTGCAATACAAATTACAGGCCTGCTAATACACTGATTCTAAAGATGTTGTTCTTGCCAAGTTTTTTAGTCAATCTGGTGGAAAGATGAAAAATAACTATTTGGTACCTTCAAAAAGAGAGTATGGTCTGTCTGGGATGCGACAGCCATGGGTCCCATAGTCCAAACACCACTCCGCAAACTACAGGAAGGTAATAACAACATGTTTAAAGACATTTGTGGTACATTCATTCAAAATTCATCTACACATGTTAAATTGTAATGTAAAATATTAAAAAAAGAAAGAAAATTATACATCAAATAATGACTTGATTAAATCACTGCCACCAACAACCCATTCAGTGCAAATGTTGCTGGGAGACACAGCAAACCTTCTTGCGATAGCACATATGAATGTTCCATCCTGGAGGAGCTGGACTACCTGTGCAACCTCAATGGGCTGCAGGTACCGCCTCATGCTACCAGTAGTGACAAGGACACTAGCAAAACACAGAACTAGAGAACAGTTGGTCAGGAAGGATAAGGAGAGAACACCTGTCTGTGGCCACCACCTGCAGAACCATTCCCTTTTGGAGGTTGTCTTGCGGTTGCCTCTCCAGTGCACCTGTTGTCACTTTCATTTGCACCAAAACAGGTGACACTGATTCACAATCACTTCTGCTTCCTTACTGGAAATTGATATCCCTGAAATTTGCAGCCACAATATTTTGTCTATGTTATAAATTCTAGACTGTATATAAAGATGGACAGCAGCCAAACATCTGGATGGCCGCCCCCTCCATGTTAGCAGATGGGACATTGGCCACACAAAAATCCAAGTACACCTCAAACACATAGTTCTCATCTGATGTTTGTTCATTTTTCTGATAAGTTTGGTTTTAATTAGTTATTTAATGCTATTAAAAGGGGGTTTCACGTCACGACTGACAGCCGAGCTCTGCTCGTGTTTGAGTCGGTCAGGTGTAAGGGCGGGACCTCAATACCTCTCCTCCAACCCTGATCACTACTGAGCAGACTCTGGCTCCAAATGACGTCGCCAGCACAAGATGGCAGCACCCTTATCTGGGATTTACATTTACATTTCTTCATTTAGGGTCTCTCAAACCAAAGGCATGTGTCTTATCCACTGTTCCATCACCACCCCCTATATACTACGAATCTTGCTCTTACCTTGCAGGCGCGGTAAAGGTATTTTTTCTCCTGGGTGAGCTTGTAAAGGGATAGGAAGGCATAGCCGTTGCCAGCTGTGCCATGGCAGATTCCGTAGCCCTTTCTGAGCAGGCCTCGATGCCAGATCACCTCAGCACATTCTGCAGCCTCCTTCAAGTACTTCTCCTCTTTAAACACCTGGAGAGACACAGATGAAGCCAAACGAATAGTCAAACCTCATATCAAGCACTGTTAATAAGGTAAGGCAGCTCAAGTGTGTGATCAGATGAGCTGGACACCCTTCCACTTCAAGTTTATGAGATGTCAGCATTCTGAAAATTCATAATATTATTTGTGATTGAGTTGCTTGATCTTCTAAATCTTAAGGTCATGTGCTTAGTGAAAGGCCACTCTAACAGAACTACACAGGATATAATTGACCGTTCGCTAAGCCACACCCCCCCTTAGTTACTGTCGCTAAGTCCGACAAACTGTCGGACCTGTTTAACTTTTATCACGGCGTCCAACGCTAAGCTTCAAAGACACTGAGTATCAGCACAAAATATATCTGCTATAAACAGAGACAGAGACAGTGTGAACATACTGGGAAAAAAGCCAGTCTGCATTAGTCCAGCCAAAAGGCAGAGACAGGTGACTACAGGTGAAGTCATTGTGAAAACCTGGTGATGTGTGTGTGTGTTTTTGTTTTATGCGTATGTAGTCGTATGTTTTTGTGTGTGTTTGGTTAAGGATGAAGATGAAACACTGTTCTGTATATTTCTCAGATTGGATGGATGCATTGGGATTGCTAAAGGATGTGACTCCTCACTGACCTGTTTCAAAAGAAAGCACATCACCATTTCGTGGGACCTTTAAGGTGAGCATTAAATCACGAAGATGGTACTAACAAGCTTTGTGTTGCATAGCAACAAAAGTGATGTGATGCACTCCTCGCAGCCTTTGACATTGTCCCTTTGTAGGAGACAATTACAGACTTAAACAGTTTGTAACTTCCCTCTGTGGTAACAGATCTCCATGATAACTACTCAGTGAAACAGTGACTTTATGAACATGCTCATGTTTTCCTTCAGTTTACTGCAAATCACTGTTTGGTGGGGAGAAATGAATTATAACAGCTTCAAGTTAAAATAGCATGTAGACTCCACCTGACAAAATTCATGCAGCCACTGAAATAATCCTTCTGTGACAACAAATGTTGTGTGTTCCATTAATAAGTTAATAGCGTGACCGTGATAAACAATCGTGTCTATTGTGCTTTGTTCTCTGTGTGGTGCCAAAGAGTCTCTGCATTAGGGAGAGCAATAAGAATGCCAGAGCAGCAGCACACTGGTTTATTCGTTTTTTGCTCTCTAATGGGCAAAGGAAAGAAGAAATTCGCCTGCAATGCATTACTGTAGTTTGTGTGTGTACATAGCCAGGCTACTGAAATGAAGCAGTAAACACAGCTGGTTTTTAGTCAGGAGGGGAGGATTCATATCCCATCTTTGTCCTAATCATCTCTCATATTAATCAGTGACAGGATTAAGTATGTTCTTAATACAACAGAACCACTTTTACAACTTTTGTCTTTAAAAAAAAGGCAGCATACTACACGTTTCAGCATATACGGAACACAATATAGTGTCCATGCAGTGCAGGGCCATGCCACCAGGTGCCAGTGTTGTTCAGGAGATGGACCAGGTGGTTTATTAAAGCAAGAGCTCTAACATGTGGCCAGTTCAGACGGACACTGGTGATGGTCGACTGCTGAACTGTTGCTGCACACCATGAGCCACATAATACAGAGTGTAAACCAGTCTCACCTTATGAGCCAAGATCAGCATGTGGATGACACCTGGGGCTCCGTGGCACCAGTGAACCAGCCGGTCACTCTCGTTACTCAGCGATGATGGGAAGTTCCCCGAACGAAACCTCTTGTGGCGGACATAGTCGATGCTGGGACGAACCAACTCTGACAAAATGTCTGGATGGACCCTTGCTCCGGGCTGGAGAGAGACAGAAACAGACAGTTTAGTTTAATTTCTGCTGGCCAACTTGTCTCAGTATGGCACCACATATGCAGCCAGTGTATTTTTAACGGAAGCCACGTCAAGCAGCACAAAGCAGATGAACCGGTCAGGAAGTCAGCATAGAAAATCCATTTGATTTTCAAAATAAAATAGCCTGTACAGACTCCCGATCGTATATCAACAATAAACAAAGTAAGAGACAAAACAAGAAACAATTTAGCTACATAGCTGAATTACCATGGTAGAAGCACAAAAATCAAGGACAACTGAAAAACAAAATCTGAACAAGTCAGAAAATCAGCCAAGCAAAACGCTCTTATTCTTAAATGCTCTATGTGGCATATGAAACCTGTGCAAAGAACGGAACAAAACCGGTTCACAGAGAACTGTGATCTGTAGTAGAAGCAGGGCTTGACATTAACTTTTTTGCTCACCAGCCACTGTAGCTAGTGGTTTTCCAAAGTTACTAGCCACACAGCGTTTTCGGTAGCCTAATTTCTGTTGTTGGGAAATTACACTTTATATGATTAAAGTTGACTATGGCATGCTAAAATTTACTTGAACTAGATTTGCAACCCTTTTAAATGTAAATGACCACTGTACACACCCAAATCAAGACTATATAAAATGTATAACTCTACAGGTCATTATCATTAGCTCTGATAAGGTTGTGTGTTTTTATGAAAAACACACAACCTTTTTTATGAAAACATATAGGTTTAATTCAATTCAGTTTTATTTATATAGCGCCAAATCACAACAACAGTTATCTCACAGCGCTTTTCATAAAAGAGCAGGTCTACACCGTACTCTATGATGTTATTTACAGAAGCCCAACAATTCCCACCAAGAGCAAGCACTAGGCGACAGAGGCAAGGAAAAACTTCCTTTTAAGAGGCAGAAACCTCGAACAGAACCATGGCTCAGGGTGGGCGGCCATCTGCCTCGACCGGTTGGGGTGAAGGAGAGAGAGAGAGAGAGAGAGAGAGAGAGAGAGGGGGAGAGAGAGAGAGGAACAGAGAGAAAAAGAGAGGGATGGAAGGAAAGAGAGGGGAGGGAGGCAGCGGTACAGACAGTAAAGGTGATGATGTTGCTATAGACTAAATGAAAAATAGTACAGATATTTATAGTAGTGTTAATGATAACAATCGTAATGTTAATGATTATAATAACAATAATAATAATAGGACTAGCAACAATGGTCGTTGTAGCAGAGGGTGTCGAGCAGGAACACGGGGGCAGCAGGTGACCCACAGCCACAGATCCAGACTCCACAGCTCCAGAGCCAGAAACACCTGCAGAAAGTGATAGGAGGAGAGAGGAGAGGGACGAGAAAGCACAAGACTACCAGAAAGGGGAGAAGTTGTGTTAGTAACATGCAATAATGGGATGAGATTGCATACAGAGGGAGAGAAAGTAGAGGAGAGAGGAGCTCAGTGCATCATGGGAAATCCCCCGGCAGTCTAGGCCTATAGCAGCATAACTAAGGAATGGTTCAGGACTCACCTGAGCCAGCCCTAACTATAAGCTTTATCAAAGAGGAAAGTCTTAAGCCTACTCTTAAATGTGGAGATGGTGTCTGCCTCCTGAACCCAAACTGGAACCTGGTTCCACAGGAGAGGAGCTTGATAGCTGAACGCTCTGGCTCCTAGTCTACTTTTGGAGACTCTAGGAACCACAAGTAACCCTGCATTCTGGGAGCGCAGTGCTCTGGTGGGGTAGTAAGGTACTATGAGCTCTTTAAGATAAGATGGTGCCTGACCATTAAGAGCTTTGTAGGTAAGAAGAATGATTTTAAATTTAAAATTCTTTACTGGAAGCCAATGCAGAGAAGCTAAAACAGGAGAAATGTGATCTCTTTTCCTGGTTCCTGTCAGAACACGAGCTGCAGCATTCTGGATCAGCTGAAGAGTCTTAATGGACTTTTTCGAGCAGCCTGATAATAAGGAATTGCAGTAATCCAGCCTAGAAGGAACAAATGTATGGACTAGTTTTTCTGCATCATTTTTAGACAGGATGTTCCTGATTTTCACAATATTACGTAGGTGAAAAAAGGCGGTCCTTGAAATTTGCTTAATGTGAGACTTAAACGACATGTCCTCATCAAAGATAACTCCAAGATTCCTCACGGTGGTGCTGGAGGCCAGGGCGATGCCATCAAGGAAAACTATATCTTTAGATAATGCGTCACGTAGGTGCTTAGGCCCCAGAACAATAACTTCAGTTTTATCTGAGTTTAACATTAGAAAATTACAGGTCATCCAGGTTTTAACATCCTGAAGGCACATTTGAAGTTTAGCTAACTGATGAGTTTCATCTGGTTTGAACTCCATGACTAACTTTGGCATGCATGGACGACTCATTGTTAACATGTACAAACTGAAATATATCTGATAAATAGGACTTAAACCAGCTTAGAGCGGTTCCTTTAATGCCAATGAAGTGGTCCAGTCTCTGCAATAGGATCTGATGGTCAATGGTATCAAATGCAGCACTAAGATCTAATAAAACCAGTACAGAGACAAGTCCTTTGTCTGATGCAATAAGGAGGTCGTTAGTAATTTTCACCAGTGCTGTCTCTGTGCTATGATGAGCTCTAAATCCTGACTGAAAATCCTCAAATAAACTATTGCTCTGTAGAAAGTCACACAGCTGTTTAGCAGCTGCTTTCTCCAGAACCTTAGAGAGAAATGGAAGGTTAGATATAGGTCTATAGTTGGCTAAAACATCCGGATCAAGTTTGGGCTTTTTCAGAAGAGGTTTAATTACAGCTACTTTAAAGTACTGTGGTACATAGCCTGTTGATAAAGATAGATTGATCATATCTAGTATAGAGGTGCTGACTAAGGGTAAAACATCTTTAAGCAGCCTAGTCGGGATGGGGTCTAAGAGGCAGGTTGATGGTTTAGATGAAGAAATTATTGAAGTTAGTTGGTAAAGATTGAGGGAAGCAAAGCAGTCTAAACATATATCTGGTTCTACAGCTGTTTCTAAGGTTCCTGAGTTTAGAGATAAGTTGGTGCCAGTTAAGGGCAGGTCTTGGTGAATTTTGTTTCTAATAGTTAGAATTTTATCATTAAAGAAGCTCATGAAATCGTAACTACTGAGAGCTATGGGAATACTTGGCTCAATAGAGCTGTGACTCTCTGTCAGCCTGGCTACAGTGCTGAAAAGAAACCTGGGGTTGTTCCTATTTTCCTCTATTAATGATAAGCAAAGTAATACACTGCTCTGGCATTACGGAGGGCCTTCCTATAAGTTTTAAGACTATCTTGCCAAATTAAACGAGAATTTTCCAGTTTGGTGGAACGCCAATTCCTCTCAAGTTTCCGCGATATTTGCTTTAATTTGTGAGTTTCAGTATTATACCATGGAGCTAACCGTCTTTGTTTTATTATTTTCTTTTTTAGAGGGGCTACAGAGTCGAGTGTCATTCGCAGCGAGCCTGCAGCACTATCAACAAGATGATTTGGGAGGGACTGAAATTAGCATAGGAGTCCTCCGTTACTTTGTGACTAGATAATGTATTTAGAGCTGATGGAATCGCATCCTTAAATTTAGCTACAGCACTATCAGACAGACATCTTGTATAGAAATTTTTGCCCATTGGCGTGTAGTTCAGCAATACAAACTCAAAAGTTATCAAACAGTGGTCAGATAAAGAGGGATTCTGTGGGAACACCACTAAATGTTCAATTTCAATACCATACACCAAAACAAGGTCGAGGGTGTGGTTAAAACAGTGAGTCGGTTCATGAACACTCTGAGAGAAGCCAGAGAGATAAACGCAGCACTGAAGCTGTCATTCTCAACGTCCACATGAATATTAAAATCCCCTACAATAATAACTTTGTCCGTTTTAAGGACTAAAGCTGACAAAAACTCTGCAAATTCAGATAAGAATTCAGAGTACAGACCAGGTGCTCGGTACACTATAACGAAGAGAATTGGTTGCAGTGATTTCCAACTTGGGTGCGAAAGACAAAGAACAAGGCTTTCAAATGAGTTATAGTTTAGTTTAGGTTTAGAGCTGATTAATAGGCTAGAGTCGAAGATAGCTGCAACTCCACCTCCTCGGCCTGTGCCTCGAGGAATGTGAGTATTAATATGACTGGGAGGGGTGGATTCATTTAGGCTAACATATTCTCCATCACCCAGCCAGGTTTCAGTAAGACCAAATAAATCAATATCATAATCTGATATTAGTTCATTTACTAGTACACCTTTAGAAGAGAGAGATCTGATGTTTAAGATTCCACATTTAATTTTCCTATTAGTTTGCACTATTGCTCTTGTGGTTTTAATTTTTATGAGGTTTTTATGCACAGCTCCTCTTCTGTTTACCTTTGATTTAAATAATTTCGATGGTCGGGGGGCAGACACCGTCACTATAGGATTTTCACTAAGTAACTCCTGAAATGGAGGAGCAGAGAAGTGTGTTAGACTGCGACTCTGCCTCCTGGTCTCAACTCTGGGTTGTCATGGATTTGGTCCACTAATAAACTTGGCCAGATTTCTAGATTTGGCAGGGGTCCAGAGAAAACGGTGTCCAACATTGTTTTTGCATATGTACACACCGACTCAACATTAATCTTTACCGCCGACGTGAATAACAATCTTACTGTATTTACGTTTATCCTTAGCCAGCAGTTTCAAATAAGACTCAATGTCGCCCGCTCTGGCCCCAGGGATGCACTTAACTATGGCCGCTGGCTTCGCTAACTTCACGTTTCTCAAAATGGAGCTGCCAATGATCAGAGTTGGTTTCTCAGCGGGTGTGTCGCTGAGTGGGGAAAATCTGTTAGAGACGTGAACAGGTTGATGATGCCCCGTGGACTTTGAATGCTTACGACTATTCCTCCTTCGGGCAGTCACCCAGCCACCCCTTCCTGGCTGCTCAGGGGATGCCGGGGGACGGCTACCAGAGGCAAACTCAGGCCGTTCTGCACCGACTACCGGGGACTGGCTAGCTACAGTAGCTAAAGACTGATCTACCAAGGTGCGAAGCCGGACTTCTAAATCACTGAGCCTCGCCTCCATGTCTATAAATAAACTACACTTATTACACGTACTATTATCGCTAAAGGAGGCAGAGGAGTAACTGAACATCTGACACACCGAGCAGGAGAAAGTAGGGGAGAGAGAGGTAGGAGAAGCCATCGCTAGCTGCTAAGCTAAAGTCGCTAACGGCTAAGCTAAAGTACTGTAGCGTCAACTACCAAAACTTTAGAACAACTATGAAATTGAACAGCAGTCACTAAAAGATGGAAAGAACTGTGAACTGTAAGAATAAGTGTTTAGCGGACAGTTGGCTGCTGTAATCTAACAAATTTAACTGGTATTTAGCGAGAGCAGCACAACACGGTACCAACACACAAGTGCCGGAAACGGAAATGAGTCGACACGCTTACCGCAATACGTCAGCAACCTCGTCAATCAAAGGATCTCTATGAAGATTAAGATATAAAAAGTAGCTTCTTATTTCATATAATAAAAGTGGTGCATGGTTGTAGAAGATTAATTGAAGATAAAAACTAAACTGAAAAGAATTGCATCAGAATGACGGTCTATAGGTCTAAGGGAATGAGGCTGCCCTGTGACAGACTGAACTTACATATTCTCATTTGACAAAGTCTGGATGTTTGGTGCCCACACCCTCGTGCGGGGACACTCCAGGAGAGAATGCTCCTCTTGCCAGGCCGCATCTTCTTTCAACTAACATACCCACGTAGGGGGCCCATCACCAAGCTGGGCCCCCCCTCCATGCACCCATGCTACCTCCGCTTATGGGGAGAGAGTTTAACAATTAAGGGACAAATATGTAATGTAATATCAGCGCATAGTGCAGTAACAACCCAAACTGCTAAACATCCAGGTGTAACTGTTCAGCGGCCAGTATGCTTTTTCAGACTGCTAGCCGTTCAGAACAACTTCAAATACTTTAGATTTGACTTTTGACAACACGTCCTATGAACTAGTTCTAACTGAGCACAATGTTGCAGTTAACTTGCAATAATAACCAATCATTGTTTATTTAAAATACAAGCATGTACTTCTTTGGGTCAGCTGTATCATTTGAATGAATGGTTATGTTGAGCTAAGTGTTATAATTAGTGTAGCAGGTCTAAAGCTAGTATGATTTTTAATAAATTTATGAGAATACCCAATTATGTATTTTAATATTCAGAAAATATTAATCCATAAATCTCTTGTTTCGTGGGGCACCACCGGAGTTGTTATTAACCCAAAGTCTCCGGACCTCTGGGTAGCATTTTAATAATTATACAATTATTCACTAGTGATCAATTAGTTAATAATTGCTCAATTATCTTAAATCAATCAGTCAATCTCATCTGAAGGGTAAATTCTCTTGGCAGGGACTTAGAAATAGGCAACACACACAATTCCTTGATTACAGTGAATTTATTAACTAACTAAGGTGCGGTTAAAAACAACAAAGAAATAAACAATGGCTAAACAATGAGAAGGGGTTCCTATTGTGGGAAGCATTTGACTCATATGGCAACTAATGAATGCAATTGGATGATAACTCGGTTAAATTTGTCTGGGAGTTTCAGGGATTACATATGCTGGACTAAAGATAATGGATTAACAACTATTGGACATCACTGGCCACAGAATGCCTTGTTTTGCCTTACGGTAGGTCGGCGGCCTGCCTTGGCCTGTTGCACGAGTCCCACGCTAGCTGTCCGATTCCTGGCTTTTTGCTAGGGAATTCTCCAAGGTTCTCCGTGTCTGATTGAAGAAAAACCCTCAAGGGTTGGCCGTCCTCCGTCTGGCAACTCGGCTGTTCTTCAGGTGTCCTTTGTTGCCGCTGGCGAAACCATGTAACTTGGTCTGACCTCGGTGAAGTTAGCTTGACGAAAAAGCTTAAAAAGGGAACTTGGTTGTTCTTGAATTAGACCAGTGTAACGTAACGGACTGATAACTTTTAACAAAACAAAAGAAAGAAAATAAAATAAGTAAAGTTGCTGGAACTGAGGGAAACTGAAGTCGCGGCACCAAAGCTTTTGTTGCGTCGGGCCAAACTCTTAGGATTTGCCGGGAGAGGGGGCACGCCAGGTGCGTGCCGAAGCGCTGCTGAAAAGCCCGGACCAAGCAGAGGAGCAGAGGAGGGTGGCAGAGAGGAAGAGAGCGAACATGTGCGTGTGTCGCTGTTTTGTCGGTTGGGGCGTGGTTCCCCAGAGGGCAGTCCGTTTCCCGGAGGGAGGGCCGTTTTTCCGGCTGAGAAGACTGGCTGTCTTAGTAACTTTAATATGTCTATATAAGGAAAAGAAAATCTATTTGCGCGTATTATAATCAAATATCTTCCCACAATCAAACCTCAATGGTCAAACGGTTGGACCGTTCTAACTTTAAGCATTTGGTCAGTTGCCATGGTTACGTGTGTGTGTGGGGGGTGGGGGGGGGCAGTTTAGGGTTTCTTGCCCTCTCTTACTGAAGAGTTTCGATTGGCTGTTTGTAATATCTGGTTAGTTTCTTTGTCATTTTAACAATGCAGGCACCGAGAGGCTTATCTCGGCTGTTGCCAAAGGTGGCCAGTTTTACGATCAACTGCCCAGAGACAGCACTTAGGGAGAGACACCTTTCACCTTTTCCTTTGGGTCTCTTCAGCTGTCTGTTGAAAGTTGATATCTTTACCCCTCCTTTCTTTCTCCCAGGGAGAGAAGAGGAATTTGGAGTAGTCCCAATTTATTTAATATAAAATGCACAAATCCACACTGTTGGTCCACTACATTAGCCACCTGCCTTTTTCAGGCTTTGTTTGCAGAATTCTCTTCAAACACTGAAGCAGCATTATGAAATGATATAGTGATCAATGGTCACCCAGCCCCTTTTGCTCTTTTTTGAAAGCACACTTTGAAAACAAAGCAGATTCTTTAACAGGTCTAAATGGACTCAACACACACCCTCAGATGGATGTAGACATGAATTATTCACTTCAGTCAGTTAATGAGAACATCGGTGAACAGGAACAGAGACACAACACAGTGCACTCTGGATTGATTTCAATGACCTAAACACATTGTGGAATCATAAATGAGATCCACTACTCTTCCCCACATATCTGAAACTATAAAATACAGAGGCAAAGAGAAAATTAAATAATTTATTACCATTATTATTATTATTTCCATGTCAGTTTTTGACTTCATTTCCGTGCTTTATGTTGCCAAGAATTAATTACATGGCAAAGGAAATTGCCCCAGAGATACCATACACCTGTTCACCTAAGCCTAAACATATGGCTGTTAACAATAAATCCAACAGCACTTGAAGGTGCAGTAGCCCCAGAGTATGGGTAAACGGACTGTGCTTGTATACTGTAGTGCGCTTCCACTCTTTCACCCACTCAAAGTGCTTTACAATACATTCATCCATTCATACATGGATGGCAGAGGCAGTCATGCCAACTGCTCATCAGATGGAAACTAACACACACACACCCACCAAACAATTTGCTGTTGGTTTGCCCATAAACCTTGTTGCAATAAAGATAATCTTCAGCCAGAGGATTGACCCACCTGGTAAAGGTCTCTACCAATTAGAGGTTCAGTATCTTGCCTAAGGACATGTCGACATGTGGGCTTGAGGAGCTGGGTTCGAACCACTGGCCTTCTGATTAGTGGCCGACCCGCTCTACCTCCTGAGCCATGCCCCATAAGAGTGCAGTCAGACTGAGATCCACTCATCACTGAGTGATTAGACCATCATTTGCAAGCCACAGAGAACTAGTTTAGCTAAGTAGGCAATAGCACTTATTTGTTGCATGGCTGTGGCAGCTCCTCCACTGGCTCTCAGCCCAGGACAGTAAGACCAGACATTTACGCCAACACTAAACAACTGACCTACTGATGAATGTTTCTTGCCGCACTGTGTACTGGCACAAGTCCACTAATTAAAAAACGGTTTCTTTTACCAAATAATGAGGCTGAATCACTGAAGAATTTTATGATTGAAAGCATAAATCCATCTTATCCCTATTTTGACACATAACCATCAATGAAAGATTATCTGTACTGCAACATGGTTTATGGCAAAATGGGCCTAAATAGCCAGTATATTGGTCTACTTGTTTAGACCATTTTCCCTCATTTTTTATAATTAAATATTGTTTCTGCAATCTAAGAAAATGTCCTCTGAGGTGAAATGAGTTTGGAACACCTCTGGCACTAATAGCCTACAGCTTGCACTAACTTAAGTGTTTTCAACAAATACTTTACTTGGGCAGGCTGGACAGGTATAGTTCCACCTGCCAAAGTATATTTTCAAAACCGTTACAGCCCTACTTGACATAGAAAGAAACTGAATAATGTTAAAAGCAAAAAAAAACAACATTTATTTTCTGAAAATTTAGGCTGCCTTAAAAAGAAAATGGTCATTAACTAAGTTTTTGCAATACTCTACCACATCGACCAAAGGTTCCCAATCACAGCAAGGTGCGGATATCTCAAATGGTAAATGGACAGTATTTGTATAGTATCTTTCTAGTCCATTCAAAGCGCTTTACACTACATGTCACCTTCACCCATTCACACCCACTACTTGTGTATTTGCCCATGGACACCCACTCTACCTCTGAGCCACAACTGCCCCTCAACCATACGGAAATTTGACCACAGAGCACAAGAGATGACACTAAGTGACAGAAGTTTTTGGGATGTGTAAACTATTTGAATATTTGTTTGTAGCGCACACTGAAATAATTTTAAGAAAAAAAAATTATTAAAAAAAATGGACTCCTTGATCACATAACATAATTACATCAGATCACAACACCAACAACCAACCAGTGGACCCGCTCTGCCTTCTACACTCTCCTACCTGCATGAGCATGTAATAGATGCCAGCCAGGCCGTGGGCAGCACCGATGTACTGCTTCTTGTGCCATTCATAGACCAAAGGGCAGCGATCAGTCTTCTTCTGCTCGGCTGACATGTTCTTCCCTGATTCCACGATGGCCGTCACCACCTGAAGATATCATATTAGATTAGATTTAGTGTCCCAGAGGAAGATTTGTTTTCACAGCCGGTACAACACAGAAACATGCAGATATAGAAAATACATAAAATCTTTATGCGCACATCCATGCCCTGTCAAGTATCCCAGCTCACAACGGTGTCATTTAAGCAGTTTGTTCACGGCTGCTGAGGCAGAAGGAACAAATTCCTGCTGAAGGCAACCGTTCTCCAGATTAAAGTCCTCTGATAGAGCCCACTGGTAAATCGGTGTGGCGACATGAGCTAACTGCAGATAAATCGGTATTGGGGCTTATAACAGGTGAATTACAATTAAAAAAAGAAACAGAGATGGAAGACTGATCCTTCAGTGTTATGAGTGTTGTCGTTGTATAGTTGGTCCAGCAGAGGGCGCTCCCCTGTTGGCAACACAGTTTAGAACAAATCCCCCAGAAAACACAGCAATCAGCTGACATGATCAGCTGTACTTTTGCTAAAAGTACTATTTAAAACGGCAGAATATCACGTTGTCTTGATAAGGTCTCATAACTTAAAGATTAGAATAGAGACTGCAGCTCTGCAGTTTCTCAAGATTAAAGCAGAGCTACTGTACAACAAAAAGGTACCATGACGCAATGTTTTTGTAAAGGACGTCTTAACCACTAGACCAACAGACTCTCAGAGTGAGGCGTCTTTTCCCTCCCAACAATCTTGGCTGAGTACAGACAGCTGACAGAGTGCACGTTAACCAGACAACAGCCACAAGTTTGATTTACAGAATTCACATTAATCAGTTACAGCTGCTCTGATCTGCCACCGATGATGTTGTCATTTTCCTGGCAAAATCTTTGCTAATCAAAAAAGTGAGGAGACAAAGGTTTTGATGAGAGATTTGGTGGTAGCAAGATAAGTAATTTGTTAGCATTGGAATTTAACGAACCTGGGGATTTTACCAACCAGAATTAGGATCCAAAATGAAACCAGCAACCCTAACCTTTATTAAGGCCCTTTGTTAGATTTTTACCTCCGCAAAGGAGGCCATGTTTTCACTGCTGTTCGTTTGTTTGGTTGTCAGCAGAATTATGGAAAAATCTGGGCCAATTTCAACTTTGAGAAAAGGGTGTGAAGCCTTTTTTTGTTTTAATCTGTGGCTTTGGGGGCTTTGCTCTGCTACTAGTTTCAGCTGCCTTGATGTGTTTTGGGATAGGAGAGACTTGCTTAAAACAGATTATCTACCCCCTAACAGAAAGGGCACACATTAGCTCTCGGCAAGATATGCTTATTTTATATAGAATTCTTGTCCATGCTGACTCTCCAGTTCAAACCTCCAGCATTCCACAGATTATTCTAAACTGAACATGATAACTACCATTTGTGCAAAGGGGACAGCAGCAGCTATTTTTTAATAAAAGGTATATACAATTTAATCACAGTCTCTTGCCTTCCCATGTCAACACCACCCACACAATTACAGTCAGCCCTTCTTAATGTGAGATCACTTGTAAACAAATCTTTTTTATATTACAATTTCATCTGTTCGAATGATTTAGATCTCTTTATGATCACAGAGCCATTGCTGACACCAAATAATCATGTTCACCTACTGGAAGTCAGCAAACCCGGTTATTGTTTTTAAACCAGCCAAGACTAACTAGGAGTGGTGGGGTTGCCCTTTTATATAAAAAATGCTTCAAATGCACCAGCACTGATCTGGGGCTATCTAGCTCTTTTGAAGCGCTTCCCTTCCTGATTAAACGAAAATCTCCTTGCATGGGCTTGATGATGTATAGACTGCTGTCTGGAACTCTGACTACGTTCGATAAGCTGTTGATACTTGGAGACTTTAATATCCATGTCTGCTGCCCTGATGACCCCTGGGCCTGGAGTTTTTAAATCTTTTAACGTATCACGTGCTCTGACTGGAACTACTCACTCGAAAAGGTCATGCTTTCGATCTAGTTTTGTCCCATGGTACAAAGATCCCCAATGTCAAATGTCAAATGACGCTCCCATTTTTAGCCAAGGTTTTAGAAAAAGTTGTAGCAGATCAAATGCTATCTTTGAAAAATTATTAGACTTATTGATGGCAGCTGATGCTGGCCATAAATCCAAGTTTGTTCTCCTGGATTTATGCAGATTCCTATTGACCATGAGATCCTCTTGGACTGTCCTGTGTTAATCCTAGGTGAGAATTTGTGACACTGCTCTGTAATGGTTTAGGTCCTACCTAAAAGACAGGGGTTTCTGCGAGGGCTGTCGCAATAACCGCAAAATTGAAATACCGCACTACTGGTCGAGCCTACCGCGGAGGATGGTAAACGCCGCAATAACCGCAATGTTCATACTTCACACTTCAGGACGTGTTAAATGAATAAATTAGTGCTTCAAATTTTCCAAAACCCGCAATGAGCTCTGTAACGGTTCAAGGATAGATTGGGCTGGACGTGACCTGACTTCAAACTTGGAAGCAAGTGTTGAAATGTTTTGTGTTGTTTTACTGTTTGTTTATTAACTTAGGTTAGCTAACTTGGCGTTAGCATATTGCACGGCTACTTTGTCTAGGATGCTGGGACAGTTGAGAGAAACTGAACGGTAAGCCTCATTTGAAGCTTGCTAACTAACGTTGTGTGTCGGATGTCACAAAAAGGGCAAAAAAGCAGGAAAATATGTAGAGACACCCCGATTAAACTGGCTGCAGCAGGACCCATGACAATAACTTATTTGGTGGATGTGTTGCAGTGAGAATCAGACAAGTGTCTAATCCACTACTCCTTTGCCACCTCTCTATAATAATTATTATTTTGTATTAATTTTTTACCAGACTTCAACAGCTAAATGTGCAACATGCAACATGAAATAAGTCTATAACTAAATAATACTAACTACTAACTTTCAAATTAGTTCAGTAAAAGTTAATAGCTTATTTTTAATAAATAAGAGACAGCAGCAAAGGTTGTTTGAAACGGCTTTATATAAACCCGGTCACAACAATTCACAAGAATTATTTTTATAACTTGCCAAAACTTTTAACATAAGGACGACTTTAAAAAGCAACCATTCAGTGTAGCCTATTTAGCCCATATGACTGATCAATCAACAACAAAAAAGTCAAAGTAAACATTAGCTTATAACAAGCAATAATCAAAACATACCCAATTTATCCGATACTTATTGTCAACTCAGTGTTGGGCAAGTTACTTAGAAATAATATAGTTATTACCAACTACTTACTCAGCATATACTCCTTAAAAAAGTAATATTAGCTACTCTACTACTGGATGATATAACGCCACTCTCTCCCGATTAGTCCAAGCATCACTGGCAGTAGCGGCCGGAGTTTCTTTCTGAGTTTCACGTTGCAGTGTTGCTTTAGCTGATGCTTCAATTAGCCTAAGTATAAATGTAGAATTGTTCCGTGTCAAAAACTTTTTTGCTGGTTGTACAAAAGATGCAAAAATGTTTTTTTTCCATCTTAGACTGTAACATAATAATGGCAATAACGTTACTTACAGCTGATGAAAATACCTCTCTCTCCCTGTTCTCCAGTCTTCCTTTAGCTTCTTGGCTAACAGCTGACTTTAACAACATAAAGTCCGGTGCAGCTGAGCTGCAGCGCGGTTCCACATTCACGTCAGGGATGGTGCGTTCAGTAGCGCAGCGTTACTTGGATTAGTAACTGTAATAATATAACTGTTTTGGAAATAGTTATCCGTTACATTACTCTTTACTGGGAAAAGTAATATTGCAGTATTACTGCCCAACACGTTACGTATCACTGATGCACGAGAGCGACTGTGGTACACACTGCGCAGGTGTGGAATTGGCAGCTGAACGCAAAGAAACATCGTTTTGATACTTGAAAAAGAAGAAAACTTTACACACGTCAGCCTGTAGATGTCCTTTCCATTTCACTCGGCCAGCTCATTTATCCTGTACCCCCCTTCTTTTATTTTATTACAGATCTGCATGATTCACGTGGGTCAGATTTTCAGGTCGGAAAATCCGGAATTCCGGATTAATCCGGAAAAATCACATCCCTGCTAAATAAAAGGTAATTCCCTGGCAGTGGCAAATAGCTTTGGCTTAATATTTAATTACATTCATGTTTAAGTTGAGATTTACATCAAATATTTTATTGCTACTGTGTAAAGGGAATACTGCAGGTAACAAGCACCTTATTTTTTTAATGTGTTTCCAAACCACGTTATTGCAGTTTTGTGTATATTGCAATACATTTAAATTCAATGTGCGCAATACACTACTTTGGAATTCATTATTCAATTTTGCGCATAACATGATGCGAGTAGTCGCAATAAAAATTTATAAATCGTAGCCCAGCGCTAATATATACAGATGTTCATCATGCAAATATTGAAGGAAAACAAACGCAATATTTAGAAGACAACTCACCTAATTCAGTTCTATGGTAAATTGGTTGTGAAAGGGTTTATGGATTGTTGTGTACAGATTTGACCCAGATTGGACCCAGAGTGGGTTTAAAGCTTTATTTGAAAGATTATATACAGTGTGTGTGTGTGTGTGTGTGTGTGTGTGTGTGTGTGTGTGTGTGTGTGTGTGTGTGTGTGTGTGTGTGTGTGTGCGCGCGTGTGTGTCTAGGTGCTGGAGGTTCTGAGTCAGCAGTTTATGCTGTCCCTGTGATGGATAGAGTGAGTGAAAAAGAAATGGAAACAGTTCTGCAGCAGCAGCACTGCCTCCGTCATGCCAGAGCAGATTTACAGCCAGCTTGTTCATTTACACGTCCCTTTACTCCTATACATCTATACTGCCATCACTGCCTCTACTTGTCTCAAATGCTCCTCTCTTTTTCCCCCCAACAAAAGCTAATCTTCTGGAGAGAAATTAAACCTTCCTCGTCATTGGTTTCATATACATTCAACTGTAAGACGAAATCAATAAGCAACTGTCTCTCTTGAAAGGAGGAAATATAATGTAGTACTAATTAATCTGTTTGTAGTGTCAATCACAGCAAACAAACCGAAGCCTGTGGGATTC